TTTAGTGCTGTAAGACGATACATGTAGTAGGATGTGTAGATTGTCATTACTTAATTAAATCGTAAATCTAATGATAATAAACACACATTTTCTTAACAAAACCACCATTTTATGTGGTAACTTGATGGAAACTTGTCTTAAACGCTGAGTTGACAACCAGTAGAGACCAGAAACCATTACACCGGGCTATGTTCACCATTATAGCCTCCAACTCCCTACAAAAATGTTGGGTTTTAAAAATTTAGCAAGTTAATCACTACATTTGGAGGTTCTAGTGGCTGATTTAGGTTCTTCAGAGAGTTCTAATGCTAAGCTAAGCAGCTTCTGGCTGCAGTTTCCAACAAAACAAATGCACACAAACAGTATTTATCTTTTTTTCTATCTGTTAAACTTTTCCCTTTACATGCATTTTTCTGTATTCTCCATCCTGAGGAGCAAAGGAGGACATTGGGATAATATTGAGCTACTAAATCACAAATGTAGGAGGTTGTGGTGGATGGATGGGTCAGCAGGACGTCAGGCTTTAACACAGGAGGTAAATACGACATGTTAGCATCAATAGTTTTGCTCTTTTTTTGTTTCATTTTTCCCCTAAAATTAATAATGTACTGCATGAAATCGTATCAAACTCTCTGATTTGGAGGTAATTTGAGCCTATCTGAAGTTGTTTTTGTCCCTCAAACTAACCCAGCCTTACCCATAGCATCCCCACTTCCTCATCCAGAGTTATTTTTTACAGTGGTGTCTGCAATGGTTTTGGAGGGCACAGACATGATGTCATCTGATAGAGGCATCAGACCAAAAGCCGTTGTTCTGAGGGGGCAAGATAACAAGCAGCATCATTTTTTTTAAAACTTGCCGGATCACTAAATACAGACTGCACATTAGCTATAAAAAAAAATAGTCTAAATACTTTCCAAAAAATCCCCCTGAAGCCTCAGTCTGAATATCCAGCAAAGCGATCGTCATGAACACAAACACACAAACTCTGTTCAGAAAATCAACCCGTCTAGACTGTAGTGAGCACAACTAATGACTGTATTTCATATCGTCCATCTGCAGTTTCTCCAAGTGCCTGTGTGTGTTATACACTTTAGTCTTTTTATTGCTCGCCTCCCACCCTCTTTCTTTCATCTCTCTCCTTCTCCATTCCTTCTCTCTCCTTCAATCAGCCTGTTTCATGTGTCAGACAGCTTCGAAACACTTGGAGGATTCAGCAGACGAGAAAAAAAAAGGCAAATCATTTTATCACCTCTTTTCTCCCTCTCTTCTGTCTCGTTTCCTTTTTTTTCTCCTCCCTCTGCTCCCTCCATTCCTCTCTCTCAGGTGTGATCTGTGTGGGGAGTCACTGTCTAGACAACCGATTATACCGAATAATGAGGGAGAAAGAGAAGGAGGGGAGGGAGGGCGGGAGGGGATAGACGGAGCATAAAAAAGGCAGAAGCTGAGGGAGAGGGGAGGTGGATGTGAAGGGAAAGAGAGGTGTAGTGTCAGACAGAGACAGAGAGGTGTAAAGGAGAGGGAAAGTAGGAGGAAGAGCATTAGGCGAGGGAGTAGAGACAAGAAAAGGATGGAAGAAAAGAGGGGAAATGAAAAGGAAATGATAAGGAGGGGGAGAAAAACTGAGATGAAACACAGAGGAGGTAAAAAAGGCTGAAAGAATAAACCAGA